GGCACATAGTATGTAATTTTCCAGAAGGAGCAATAACGGGAGTTGAAAATGCAGACTAGGAAGAAACATTTCTTTAGTAGCTACCAATGTTTTATACCAGGAGGATTAATATTTTGAAACAAAATGTGATTCCTGTTGGATTACCATATAAGTTACTGTACATGTTGGATTTTATACCAGGGGGATTCCTAAGGAGCAAGAGCATTCTCAGGAGGTCTAGCTTTTGTTTATAGGGATGCACAATTGCCAGTGATACAGTGCCACTTAGTACAGAATCACAGTTCCTGATGAGACAAAGGAGGCATCTAACAAATTTACCTAGGAAAACAAGGTCAAAGCCTCTTAATGACGGCTAATGAACAGTAATAATACTTTTAATAATACTTTATGAACCTATACTTTATAGGTTGAGTCACTTTATATAATGGGAGAATAGAACTTGGTCAAAATATCTCCAGTAACCCAATGAAGGTTAGGACATTACCCATTTTATATATGGAGAATCTGACTTTGAAAGGCTAAATGGCAGGTCTAATGAGTTTGGCTTCAGCAAGATAGTGGGAGCAGTACTTCTGTTGTCTGTAGAGTTATATTGCCTGGGCTTTAAACCATCCCCTAGCACTCACACTAATTTCACTTTATCTGTAAGAGGAGATAATAGCTCTCACACATTTTTGGGGGGAATCTCTAACATTTAAAAAAATGTATATCGAATAATTGATGTAAGGAACTTAACCCATAGGAAGTGCTTAGTGTTAGATAGTATTATATATTCTATCAATGATTGTATAACTTTGAGATTTTGTGGAGCAATAGGTTAAAGGAAAAAAGTAGATCGGGGCAAGATAGAATGGTTTGCTTTTAGTCTTGACAAGTGAGGCTGTTAAAATTTTTTTCTACTACCATAATCTTCATAAAAGAAAAGAAATTTTTAAAAATCCAAGTTAGTACTGAAAGACCTAGTCTCAGAATAAAGATCAGTTACTTAAATTGAATAAATTTAGGTTCCATAAAAGACTCAATATAATTCTTATTCTCTTATTTCACCATGAAGCAGGATTAGATGTTCTATTAAGTATCCTTCCAGTTCTGAAATATGTTGATTTGACATTCGTACTTTTGCCTAGTTCTCATTGCTTCTACATCTCTCCTCTTTTGACTTAGAAAACTGGTTACAATCCATGATCCAAGTCTGTATTACCTAAGGAATCTGTGAGTTCTAGGAATCATAGGATTTGAGATTAGTCAAATGGAATTGGGCTGGATAAAACCATTGTCACCATAAGAAAATAGCCCAGCAAGTAATATATAATCCTTCATCTAATAAATAGACACATATGACTACTATGTGGCAATGACTCCACTAGACCCTAGGCATATGAAGAAGCAAACACAAATGGTCCTTTCAAAGTTAACAGTTGAATTACTCCTAACTCCAAGCTTTGTAGGTTCTTGAGACTTCAAGATAAATATGATAAATTACTAGAGCTTTAATTTTAATTGAAGACAGTGTGGGGATGGGAAAGGTAATTTATTTGGGAATTTAAAAATTATATTAAAAAAGGAATAACAAAATTTGCATGACTTAAAAAAATGACAATACTTGAGTTTTTACTCCTGTAAGAGCCAGTTTGAGCAATAGCTCCAGACTGGCATGCAGAGTTTACTCTTCTCTGTTCCAGGTTGATGATTCTTTACAATTAGGTTGCATTAACATTATGTGAAGGAACTTAAAAATATGGATTCCAGAGTGATGCCTAGGTGGCTCAGAGGTTGAGCGCCTGCCTTCCACCCAGGGCATGATCCCGGGACTCCATGAGTCCCACATCAGGCACCCTGCATGGAGCCTGCTTCTCCCTCTGTCTGTGTCTCTGCCTCTCTCTCTGTCTCTGTCTCTCTGTGTTCCATGAATAAATAAATAAAATCTTTAAAAAATATATATGAATTCCAGGATCCTAGAGACTGTGATTCAGTAGGGCTGTGGTAAAGCCTAGAATCTAGAAAAAACTCTTCCAGTGTAGTAGTGGTGGTCTACAGATAATTCTTTGAGAAGCCTTACTTAGGATACTTCAAAAGTTTCAGAAAGCAGTCAGTTTAAAAGGGAAAGTCACAAAGTGAAGTTTGCCAACATTTCTCCATTGAATTTATTTCATGGGGTGCCTGGCTGGCAAAGTTGGTAGAGCGTGTCATTCTTCATCTCAGAGTTGTGAGTTCAAGCCCCACATTGGGCGGAGCTGATCTAAAAAAGAGTAAGTAAAAAGCATAAAACAAACCCTCACTTTTTGCGTTCTATCCCCACTGTCTTTCTGAATCCTGACAATTTAACTGAGTTTCAAGCTGTAGAGATTGATTCCAGATTAGTATCCACAACAGGCCAATTTTAGAAAAGGTCACTGAGAAATTTTTGAAGGAGACTGCCCAGATTTTGGTGTTTGTTTAAAATTGTATTTATTTATTCATGATAGACACAGAGAGAGAGAGAGACAGAGAGACAGGCACAGACACAGGCAAAGGGAAAAGCAGCCTCCATGCAGGGACCCCGATGCGGGACTCCATCCTGGGACTCCAGGATCACACCCTGGGCCAAAGGCAGGTGCTAAACCAGGGCCTGGTTTAGTCACCCAGGGATCCCCCAGATTTTGGTGTTTTAATTAAGCTAGAATCTCACTGCTTTTGTTTGTGTGGATACATATAACAAGTGGCTTAGAATCTGGCTTAGAGTTGTATCTTCCCCTAAAATCAGAATTCCATTTATTTTCTTTGTATCTTTTAGGGATGTCAGTGCTTTCTAGCTGAAGACCACAGGAATTCACCTATAGTTGGATAAATTTGGGTTTATCGATTTGTTGGAACAAGGATAAACAACATATGGAACTGTGAAGTGCCTCAGTAAGAAAGTGTTAGAAATGACATAGGGTTTGGGCTTGTGTTACATGATTTGGAGAAGGTTCAAAGAAGCAGAACATTACTCTGGATTGGATGCTGGCAGGAAGTGGTGATAATTCTATGACAGGGCATCTTAATTCTTGGTTGAAATACAAGAAAAATGAGGTGAGGTTAAAGCAGATGGGTAAAGAAGTGACAGTTGTATTAGCCAGGATGGGAACTGTTTTTTTCATTTTTTGTGGTTTGTACATGTTCATGTTTGTTTTCTGTGTTCAAATGCGGTTGCAGTGACCTTGGCTGATATTGATGTTTTGTGAAATTGTTTATGTTCTACTTGGGAGCACCATGGTCTAGCTGCTCTGGACTTTCACAGCCTGTTTTTCACTTTTTCAGGGTTAAAATGAAAATAAAAGAAAAATGCTGTTATACATATGAGTAGAATCTTTTTTTTTAATTTTTATTTATTTATGATAGTCACAGAGAGAGAGAGAGGCAGAGACACAGGCAGAGGGAGAAGCAGGCTCCATGCACCAGAAGCCCGATGTGGGATTCGATCCCGGGTCTCCAGGATCGCGCCCTGGGCCAAACAAAGGCAGGCGCCAAACCACTGCGCCACCCAGGGATCCCGATATGAGTAGAATCTAAACATGTCTAAAATCACTGAGCAATAGCTATGTCTTGACAAGCAGAGAGGCAGCTCAGCGTAGGGGAATAAGACTGGAATTACTTTTCCTATTTATCCCCATAACTGTTGTGTGAATCTGACAATAACATTAACAGCTTTCATTTGTTGAGCATCTACTATATGCAGTAACATTTTTTAGGTGCTTTATACACATTGAGCAGCTTGCAAGACATATATATTTTGATCTCCCCATTTTACGGACAAGTAGACAGTAACATTCCTAGAACCACCTAGTTAATAAGTGGGATTGCTGGGACGCCTGGGTGGCTCAGTGTTTGAGTGTCTGCCTTTCGCTCAGGGCAGGATCCCAGGGTCCTGGGATGGAGTCCTGCATCAGGCTCCCTGCAGGGAGCTTGCTTCTCCCTCTGCTGATGTCTTTGCCTCTCTCTCTCTCTCATTAATAAATAAATAAAATCTAAGAAAAAAAAGTGGAATTGCTGATATAATAAGGGGAGGTGATAGAACCTACTCACTTTCCACTATACCAGGACGCCTCTTTATTCAGAACATTCGTGTCTGCAGGCTTAGCAATGGAGATCTACGCACTCGGCGGGATTGTTCTGAGACTCCCATGCTGTCATACATCTGAAAGCACCTAGCACAGTGACAGGCTCATGGTGGACAAGCCACAACTAAGACTTTTCTTTCAGCAGAGTGGAGGTGCCTCTGTTGAGATGAGTTGGCTAAGTAGTCTATGTTGAGTGACTCCAGTCAATTTAAACATCCTGGTTACAGAAAAGTCAGGCTGGAAAAAAAAAAAAAAAAGTTAGTATCACAGATTCTGAGTTTCTCTAATAATTTCCAAGAAGTTGTCAAGGTCATTTCTTAGAGATGACAAAAACGAAGCTTCGAAAGGCAGTTGATGGGAAAAAAAAGAGAGAGAGAGAGAGAGAGAGAGAGAGAGAGAGGCAGCTGATGTGTCCCGTGTCCCGCCCACTGCATCACTCAGTGCCTTGCTGAGGCACCAGGCTTGTCGCCCCTAGGCCGCTCCCCGCTGTCCTCCCCAGGCAGCGCAGCCGCCTGCGTCCCCGAGGGCCAGGGTAGAAGTCGCAGCGTGCTCTGGGCCCCTGCTTGCTCGCGGCCGCGCCCACGGGGTACGGGGCTGCCGCGCTCCGCACGCGCTTGGGCAGTACCTGGGACGGACCCTCCTTCCCCTCCCGTGACTTCATCTTGGAGTTCAAAGTCTCTAAACGTGTTGGTTCAGCGCATCTGGCAACTGAAGCATCTTAAAACGGGCTTTGGCGGCACCGTGCGGGGCGCCAGCGCCCGAGCCCCGCCCCCGGCGGAGGAGGGCGGCGAGCGGCGGCGGGACTCGGCGCAGGGGCGCGCGCCCCGGGTCCGCGGCCCCGCCCCCGAGGGCCAGGGGCGGGGCGAGCGCGGCGCCGCCCGGCGGGGGCGGGGGCGGGGGCGGGGGCGGGAGGCGGGGAGGGCCGCGCCGCGCCGAGGGAGCCGGGCGCCGAGCAGCCGGCGGCACCATGTCCGCGCGCAACTGGGGCACGGAGCTGGGTAAGGGCCCCGCGGGTGGTCCCCGCCCGCACCCATCGCCCCCCGCCCCCCGCCCTTCCGCACGGCGCTCCCCGGGCTCGCCGGCCCCCGCGGGGGCTCCGCCCGCGCCCGCCCCGGGCAAAGGCCAGGCCCGAGACTCGGCGGCTCCTGCGCTCGGTGCGAGCGGGAGACGTGGCGAGGGACCCGCCTGGCGTGGCCCAGCGGGACTCGTTCCTTCTGCCTCCCCCGCTGGCAGACAGACCAAACCCCAAACCAGCCAACCAGACTAGCAGCCGCCTCCCCGAAAGGCCCCCCTCAACACAACAAAACAAGCCCTCAAACCACCAAAACGTACGAACTAAACCCGAATAGAACGAGGCAGAAACCTCCCCGCCCCGCCCCCGCCCCCCGCCCCCCCCCGCGAGCCCCTTGCGACCTCCCGCGGGGTTTCCGCGCGTCCGTGCTGTGACCACACCTGTGCCCCCAGGTGGCCGCACGTGGCCTTGCTCGTGGGAAAGTTGTCCCATTTCCGTAACTAACCGCGAGTTGGGCCTTGGTTTTGGTTTTGGAAGTCCGGAGATTCATGAAAGTGCATGAATTATTTGGTCATTTTTCATTTTATTGATATTATCAGCCATGGCAAGAAAAAGTTTACTTCTGATTTCCTAAAATGTGAGAATTTCATGATTCAAACAGCAGAACCACGATCGGGGCCAAAGGTCAAAGATCTCGGTTTAAGTATAGCTCCGGATATCTGTATCCTGGATCTTCGACTTAGTTGTGTGATTTTGGGCAACTTACTTGATCACTCTTTGCTGAAGTTTTTTGATCTGTAAAATGGTTATAATAGTAGTACTTCGTAGGGCTGTTTGGAGATCAAATGAGAGGATTTAAAGTGTTTGGTACATTCTGGGTACTCAGTAATAAGTAATAATAGTGTTCTATAGAATTCTGGTTTTAGGGGCTACTTTTCAGAAAATTAGCTATGATTTTTTTACGACACACAGAAGCACTTTTTTTTTTTTCTTTAAAAGTGACTGTTCCAATTAAATAGGCTAGACTTAAGGAGGTAGTCCAGAACTTTTGTTAAATGGTAAGTGTGTGTCTTTATAAAGATACTTGATTTCTTCACCAAATTGATTCTCCTTCAGTTATTGCCCTTTAGCAGATTATGTTTTGAACTCTAGTTTAAATCTGAGATGTGGATTTTAATAATAAAGGCATATTCCCCAGATTGGGAGATCCAGAAAGATGGTGGATGCGGTACAGGATGGAGTGTAGGCCTTGCATTGGTATCTTCTGGAATATGGCTCTTTAACTTTGCACACACTGAGCATACGCCATTATTTTCCAAAACTTAGATGTTTATTTTTCTTCCAAGAAATACAATTAAAACCATTTTTACTTTTTTTATTGATAAAATTGACATGTGACATTTTACTTTATTTGCAAAAATTACCATCACATCCGTACATTTGTTGAAAAGTAACAGTAAAGACAAAAAACGATTGTTATGTAGAATAATTGTAAATGCAAGTTTTTTTGCAGCTATTTAAAGGATCATAGTTTTGCTTTATTCTCTTTGTTTAAATAAAATCAGATACATTTCAAGGATTTTTTTTTTTTCCCTTCACTGGTATTAATCGTTATTCCAGACAGAGATTTAGCCTAAAATGTAAAATAAGTTACTTGAATTATTTATGTACTAGGAAAAAAATCATTCAGTATTAATTTATGCAGTATATTAACTGATGCCTTTTATAGTTTTCTAATTAAAAGTCTTTTTGAATAAACACTGTCACTTCTTTTAAAGAAATTAATGTGAATTCCCTATTACAAAAGGAATTCATGCCTATTGTAAAAATTTTAGAAAATATAATTAGCACAAAAACCCTGAAATTATTACTAATCCAATCACTTATTTATATGAAGTGTATATACCTCTAGTTAATAGATTTTTTTTTTTTAATAAATAGGCTCATTTGAGACTGAGCCTCACCCTTATGATAAAACCCTTTAGGGAAAACCTACTTTTATCATGGCATTTAGATATGTGAAAGAAAGCAAATCCTCTAACTTTAATGTTAATTTTTATGTCTCTGGTTAGTGATCAGTGCTGTCTGTGTAGGGTATTTTATACTTAAAACATTTCTGATTTTCTCCAACTCAAACATAAAGCTAAAAACACGTTCTTTGCACAATTCTTATTGCCCTTTGTGCATAAGTGACAGCTGTATCCTCATAAAAGCTTGATCAGTTTGGAGTCGGAAGGGTTAAAAGCCCTAAACCTGGGCCTGGTATTGAGAAGCCTATGGTTCTGGCCAAGCTACTTGATTTGTTTCCACCTAAGTCATTGGCTGTCAAAGTTTGCTTCCTGGACTAGCAGCGTTGACATTGTATGAGATCATATTAGAAATGCACATTCTCGGGCCCCGTTGACATCTTAATGAATCAGTTCTGGGATGGGGCTGGGCCTTTTGAGTTCTGAGTCCTCTGGGTGGTTCTGCAGCACACACAAGTTTGAGAACCACTAGCCTAATGAGCTCTATGGTGCTATGGGGCGTTTCTTGCCTTATGTATTCTATTAAAATGTTCCTATGTTCTTTTCTTTATTCTCCTAGACACCTCCCAAGTTTTGCCTAAAATGTAGGTACAGCTCAGGCAGTGATCTTTCTTTTTGTTCATTGGTGTATATCAGGCACCTGGAATAGTTTTCACCGTACCAGAGGCCCTCAAAGATGTCTGTTGAATGAACTAATGAATTTAGAACCGCTCCTTGCTTGGGAGAACTGGGGCATTTCTGTGTAGGCAGGTGCTAGGGGAGGTACACTTTCCTTTTTCTGAACATCATTAAAATTTAAATTTGTTACTTTTGTCTCAAGAGGCTTATGAAGGATGTTGACTGTGGCTTCCTTTCATTTTTTAATATATATATATATATATATATATATATTTATTTATTTATTTATTTATGGCTTCCATTCAAATGTAATTTTCTTTGGAGGCATCTGGAAAATGGGGGTGTTGTATTAGGTAACTTCTAATGCTCTCCCTACTCTGTATATCTGTAAGCTCTTGTGTACAGAAAGAAAAATGTCAAAAGTATCTGAAAAACAGTAGGGAAAGAAAGCAATTGAAAACTGATTTTTATTTTATGTATGCATTTATTTATTTATTTATTTTTAAAGATTTATTTATTTATTAATGAGAGACACAGGCAGAGGGAGAAGCAGGCTCCATGCAGGGAGCCGGATGTGGTACTTGATCCTGGGATCATGCCCTGGGCTGAAAGCGGTGCTAAACTGCTGATCCACCTAGGCTGCCCAAAAACTGATTTTTATTTTTATTTATTTATTTATTTATTTATTTATTTATTTATTTTTCAAAAACTGATTTTTAATTTGGAGGGATGGCTTTCCTGTATTACATTCACAGGAGATTATTTTAGGCATATATCCTCAGTTGGAATGATCAGAGATCATGATTCCTGAGGAATGTACAGATTATTTCACTCTGTGGAGGCGCTTTCTGTAGTGCAAGTCAGAACAAACAAAAGGGGCCTCTTATTTGTTTAAAACACAGATAAAGGAGATTAGCTTTGGCTAGTTGCCAAACCAAGAGCCATGATGGGATTTTGTATTTTATGAAGCACATTTATTCATTCAAAAAGTGGTTATTGAATACCAATTATGCACTGGGTAGTAGTATTCTGGATACAAGATGGACAAGGATAGTTCCTGCTTTCACAGACCTAGGTCTGATTCAGGAGCTGGGCATCAAGCCAAAGGTACAATTAAAATAATTGCAAATGTGATAAGCAGTTATTTTTCATTTATTTTTGTCCGCTTAAGCAATTAGCTAGAGGTACCTAAGCTGTACCTTGAATGGATTGTGATATCCAAGTGTTCCACCTTCTGACATTGTAACTTTTATCTTCCCTTGAAGAACTTAGGTAAGAACCAAGCAATATAGGGAGCTCATTTTTGCCACTCCTGCTGAAGAGTAACTTTGATGTAGAACGCAGATTTTGGTAATGATGATTTTTCCACTGCAAAGCTATCTTTAAAGAATTTTAAAAAAAAATAATTTGGAATGAAATTTTAAATCTTAAAGTTTGGCCAAGCACAGGATGCTGGAGAATAATTCTTCAATACTAGCCACGTGCCAGACACTGTGCCTAGATGCTAGGTACAAAGATAACGGTTAACATAGAGCTCTAGCTACATTCCAGGCAGTATGTTAAATACTTTTTGCATTATCTCAGTAATTCTTCGCAACAGCTCTATGAAGATTCTACTATGATGTCCTTTTTGCAGATGTGCAAACTGAGATACAGAGAGTTTTAAGTAACTTGCCAAAAACCAGTTAGGCGGAGCTTAGGCAGAGCTAAGGTGTCAGAGCCAGAATTCAAACCTAGGTGGTTTGGTGCTAACGCTGCATGGTTAACCACTAGACACTGTCTCTTGGTGCTAATTGGGAGCACTCAGTCTGTAATACAAGATTGTATTGTTGACCAGCAAGTCAATAGCAGGTGATTAATTTTAATGTGAGTCTCTTAGGTTTGCCCATGTCTTTGTGAAATCTTTTTTTTTTTTGAAAGATTTTATTTATTTATTCATGAGAGACACAGGGATAGAGAAAGGGGCAGAGACACAGGCAGAGGGAGAAGCAGGCCCCATGCAGGGAGCCCGACATGGGCTCGATCCTGGGTCTCCAAGATCACGCCCTGGGTCCAAGGCAGGCACTAAACCGCTCACCGCCCCCCCTCCCCCCAGGGATCCCCTGTGAAAGCTTTTTGTTTTCTTCCCATAATCCACCTTTTTCTTCTTTTTTTTTTTTTTTACCTTTTTTTCTTTCTTCTTTTTTCCTTTTTTTTTTTTAACATTTATTTATTTATTCAGATAGAGAGAGAGAGAGAGGCAGAGACACAGGCAGAGGGAGAAGTAGGTTCCATGCAGGGAGCCCGATGTGGTACTCGATCCTGGGTCTCCAGGATCACACCCCGGGCTGCAGGCGGCGCT